TTCGTAAAAGATATGATTTTCTTCTAGAAGATGATTTAAATATGTTGAATTTGTTTTCTTATTTACACAGCTCGTATGATGTTCCTGGATTCGATTCTTGAATGTTCTGCCAGGTTGACCAATATATTCCTTAAGACACGTTCCAGACTTAAATTTATGTTTTTTCTTTATTATTTTTATCTAACTTTCCCAACATATTACTTTTTCTATATGCAATTTCAATATCTTGTTTCCTCAAAAATGAAGCCACTTTTTCTGTTGTTTGTCCAAAATACGTTAAAGCTCTATAATTTCGATTATCTATCTTATCAATAGGAAAAACGTCTCGAATCGCTTTTGCGATTTGATAGAATTATAAAAGCGAAAAAATCCTCCCTACATTTCTGTAAACAAAACAAATTACTAATATCAGCTCTGTTAATACTCTGTAAGCTGCAGATACACTTAGATACCAACTTTTTCTCATAATTCAGTCAGAAGAGCCGACAAAGTTTGATCGATCGTTCCGGAACCCCTCCTCCGGCGGAGATTATTCAAATGACAAATTCGGCTGGTTTACAAAATGAACTCCAAATATTTACTCCAGTTCGACAATTATCGATCACCGAATCCGTCATTTCCATAATCCGCGCGCCGTTCTCCTCCCTCATACATCACCGTCGATGAGTAACATATTTTCCAGAAAGTTTCCTCCAATAACTTACCATCCCATTGTGAAATGTGTCACAAGAACGACGACGTTTTCGTCTCTCGTCGATTGTTTCAGTTGAATACAAACAACCTTCATGTCCATTCCAGAAGAATTAGTTATTCTGAGGGTGGAGTTTCTGTGATGAAAGCTGTAAGTCGCCGAGTAATCCAGAGTGTGCCAGTGGTTGTAGTTAGATATCCAGAATGGAAAGCGGCACTTGTTCGCTGGGGGAGCTGGAATGATTGGAGTAGAAAATTAGTCTGGATAGCGAATGCCTTTTTATCGAAAATGTAACTTCCGAAAGCGAAAATTATGATCCAGGTGTTATTCGATTCAAAATGACATCTGGAAACTTCATAAATGTTTCGAGGAGGGACCGGCGAAAACTGGTGAGTTTATAAACAACCCAATACATTAGCGCTCTGGTTTTTTGAATATCTCAGAAACTGACAAAATGGTTAGGACTCTCGCGGCCAAGATTGTCAGTGTCACTATTTTTCGGACTCGAAGGCCGTGGATTATTGTAATTATTTTCCAGACGTTTCACTGATGCGAGTAGCTAGCATATAGCTTCTTCAGAGGTTCATACATATTGAAATAATCTCGGATGACTGGGTATTACGGCTGCATAACAATTATTTATGCTGACTTAGGTAGTTTGCTGTGCCACTACCTGTACCTGAATTAGGTGAATTCCGTATAGTGTGTTTATGTTGACACAGGTAGCCAAACCCACCAACACGATACAACAAAGCCCCATCCCTAAAGACAAGAGACCAACTATCAGCAGCCTTGGGAAGAGGAAGAACTGGAACATCTTCAAGTGACCTTGAGATCGAATGGGTATAGTCTGCCCGAGATTAATAAAGCAATAAAATTGTGTAGACCACATGCTACTTCTTCACAACCTAGAAGTTTACGGATTTAGAGGATCTGCATTACTTTGGTTCTATTAGATGGAATCTCATCAAAGGAACGTTTCATTGGCAGTGGGGTCCAACAAGATTCCGTTTTGGGACCAGTGTTGTTTCTCATTTATGTCGATGACTTAGTCCATGTTGACATAAGTGGTAAATTCACATGTTTCGCTGACGACAACACTATCCTCTGGCAGAGCAATACCGCCTCAAATTTACTTGATCAAATCATCGTTGACATAAGACATCGACAAAACAAATGTGGTCACCTTTAGATGTAACATAGAGGAAGTACACTTGGAAAATGTAAACATCGAAAATTTAGAGAAAATCAAATTTTTCGGGCTCTTCATTGATGAAAATCCAAAATTTGATTCTTATGTCGAGTACTTATGTGAAACTTCTTCGATTGATGACTTGATTATTTTGTGGAAATTCATGTTCAATATGGTTTCAATTTGACTATCTTGTATAGGGGAACGTNTTGAAGAGTTCTACGGTTCAAAACGAGAAGTCTCAGATGCTAGTACGCGCTTACCCAACATATATTTCAAGGTAACAGACAGAATTGGAAAATTCTTGGGAAAAAAACATAAAAACGGTTCTCAAACCCACCAAGAAAATATAACAAATCCTCGGCTGAACACTATTGGAAAAATATACATCGGAACCGCAAAACGATCCATGGAAACAAGACTGGAGGAGATGAAAGAAACTACAAACTAGGCTCAACAGAACACGCAGTCTGTTAAATGAAATACAGGATTCTGTTTGAAAATACGGAACTCATTGCTCCCAACCAGGGATACCACAGCCGACTGGACGGAGGCAATAAAGATTCACAAACACGTGGATGATTTCAACAGAAAAGCAGAAGCTCTGAACCTCAGCCGAATATGGAATACCATTCTGAATTACCAGAATTACCAAACAGCAAACAGAACGACAACAGGTAGAAAAGGGTCGACGAACGTTATTGGGACGGGTACACCCAACTACTTGAGTCAGCATAAATTATTGTCGTGCAGCCGTAATACCCAGTCATCGGAGATTACCATAGGATGTATAAACCTCTGAAGAAGCTGGTAACTCGCATCAGCGAAACGTAGAAATTCTAAAAATGCACGGCCTTCAAATCTGAAAAACAGTGACACTGATCTCAAAAACTATTTGAGATATTTGAAATTTTACACTCTTACCTCCGACAGTATTTCTGATTTTGATTTCGAGGAAAAAGTTGAGCTTAAAATAGATAGTGGCGCCTCTATGCGCCCTCACCAAATCAAACAGTAGACAAAAATTAATTGATTAAGAAAAACATTACGTATTATCAAAACAATCTAATGAAACCGGGAATATTGGACAATTCCTATAACAATTTTTAAAACAATAGAAATCAAAAATTTTCAAAAAAATGTTCGAAACGTATCTGTTAAAACTGGAAACATTTTATACCCATACCTACTCTAATACCCATACCTGGGTATGAGAACGATTTTTCATACCTGGGTATAAGAACAGGTATGAAAACCTATAGACCATGGCTAATGAAACCGGGAATATTGGACAATTCCTATAACAATTTTTAAAACAATAGAAATCAAAAATTTTCAAAAAAATGTTCGAAACGTATCTGTTAGTAATTGGGAATACAAAACAAATTGGTATCTTTATTCACATTTTGAATTTTGTATTGCCTTAGATTGGTTATAAATAGTGAATTTTTTATCCATTTTTTTATTATGATATTTTTTATGTTCTTACACAATATCTCCCAGAAGTGAAAAAGTCCTAGGTTTTTCATTCAAAAATTATCTGGGTTTTCATATCAACTTGCAATCAACTTTGGTTGCAATTGGCTGACTGAATGAAAATCTATGATAAAGTGTTTTCCAAATACGTTAACAATGATAAATTAGTCAAGAAAAATATGGTTAATTGAAAAAATGCGTAGGCTTCTTGTTTATTCATATACCTAATTTATTGGTATTTTTTGTTCAAGTTTCTGATTGGATCATTTAACTACACATTTTAAACTTGAGTTTTTTTACGAGATTCGATTCGATGACACCTCAATCGTAATTTTCGGCCTTGGTCGACATATTTTATACAAAATGGCCCTCGTGGACCAGACTAACATATCGCGATTTGTGAGACGATTGCAAGTCGCTATTGAATGCCTTGAAAGCGGCCGAGAAAATTTGATATTTGGAGTATTAGGGAAAGTGGATTAACTTGAGAAAGGGGGTATGTTGTATATGGGAGTTCTTTTTTAAAGAATGAAAGAATGGTTTATTTCCAGCGGAAGTGATAAAAAATTGTTGAAATCCCGAAATACTCGAGGTTAGTGTTCCTGTGAGTAATCTGTTGATGGAAACTCATTTCAGTTGGAATGATGTCACTAAACTTGAAGTTTTTATAGATTACAGTCCCTAAGCCACAGAATGTGAAGGCATAAATTATATAGTATTGTGTGCCAAAATGTATGAAAATTCATTCAATTGAGTGTTTTCGAAATAGTTTTTATTATTCTGTTTGTGGGACGTTGTGTTTTTGAAGTTGATATCCGATTTCAGATTTTTTCAGTATGTAAGAATCAAAATTGTGAGGTATATGACAACTTTGGAAAAATTGACGGGATTCCCGATATTTTGACAAACTGATTCATTGCTCAATTAAGGCACAGAGGGTACTGGAACCTTAACTACAAATCTATACTTCGAAAGTAAAAGGTTCAAATTCTAAGTTCAGCCAATTTTATCAGAAGTCTGTCTTCAATTTGGACTAGAAGGTACATTTTCCACTATTAACGAAAAATTAAAGATATCGGCAATTTAACAATCATAGAATTAATAGAGGTCAGGTAAATTATGGGAATCAAGGTCGTTCAAGGTCAAACCCAAAGGACTATCCCAAAGTCTACTTGTACACGACACAATATGATGTTGTTGAAAGTCATTCAAAATCAAAGCAAAAAGTTCAGTATTCATATCGTCCACGCACTTAAAGATCGAAACCTTAAAACTTCAACTCAAAGATCGAAGCCTTAGAACTTCAAGATGGTCGCGTGACTGGCTCGAGTTCATTGCTTGTCGAAAAAATGGGGCATGAACCAATCAAGGTCGTTCAACACGACCTCAAATTCACCTTGTCTGCGCCGTGGACGTAGGTCGAGGCCAGTCAGGGTCTAACCCAAAACACCCCCTCAAAATCACCTATGTCGAGCGAGGTAGGTCAAGGTCGTTTGAAGGTTCAAGTAGTGAGGGAAGGTTCTGGAATCGGCTTAAAACAACTACTAGAAAGAGCAGTTTCCAATTGGGCAACAAGTTTTTCCTCCCAAAATTTTACCCCATTCTTCATTCTCCGAATCTACCAATTTTTTCAACACTTTCCTATCTTGACCCTTTTTTGCAATACTTCAGTAATTTTCGATCGTGGAAGTGAATCCATAAAAGCTCTCTCATATTTTTTTCCTTCTTTGGTGTCATCCCTGTTACTTTAAGATTATTTGTTGAAATCTAAGGTATCTGCATGTGTAGAGATCAAGATCAAGTACAGATTAAGAGGGGTCAGACCTGTGATTAATTCCATTGCCGCGGTTGGAGTTGTTCTCATGGCTCCTGTGATGTTTAAACAAGCCAGTCGCTGTATTTGGTATAATTTTTGGATGGCTGTTGCTTGTAGAACTTTCGGTCCACATGCAATGGCTCCATACGTTAACATAGGCCTTATTATTACAGGGTAGATCCAGGTGACTACACGGGGTGAAAGACCCTATGCGCGTCCCACTCTCCTCCGACATTGCTCATAAGTCACATATGCTCTTTTTGCTCTACTCTGTAGATCAGAGTTCCATATTAGCTTCCTGTCGAGGATAGTACCAAGGTATTTTACCTCTTCAGAGAAGTTTAGTTTGCTTTTGAAGATTTCGGGAGGTTTTGAGCCCGTTAAACTTCTTTTCCTGGTGGAAAGGACCATCTCAGTCTTCTTGAGATTGATCGACAGTGAGTGTTCCTTACACCATGTTTCTATTAATTTGAGCCCATCCTGCGCTCTGTCGCACAGTGTGTTCACAAATTCGCCGGTCTAGAAGATAACTAAATCATCTGCGTATGCAATTGTAACGTTAAGGTGATTAATCAGGGTGTCCAGAACTATGTTCCAGAGATGGGGTTGATAAGACCCCTCCCTGTGGACATCCCCTTATGACCAGTCCTTTCACTGTGATGTCTTCCACATTAATACTTATTGCTCTACTAGAGATCATCTTGGGTATCCATTCTCCTACTACCAGGGGTTTAGATCTAAGGTATACTTGAGTCTGTTGAGTCACATAGCCTCCTCTACGAGTCTCTTAGATTTCCTTAAGACTTCAGTTAGTCCCACATCCAGATCTTCATTCTACCAAAAAATATTCCTATTTTCTTTTCGGCATCAAATAGTCTGACAAAATGATTGAGGCTTTAATGACCAAGGTTTTCAGTATCTCGTAGAAAGTCTCTTTCACTTCTCGAATAGATTCGATTTGCCTGAGCTGATTTGAAAGACCGTTTCATATTTAAGAAAGCCAATATGATGTTGGAGTCTCGACAGCGGTATAGAAATGCCAATGTTTCCAGTAAGTGTGCCTTTATGTTTCCTACCCTTACCAAGTCAGTTGTATAGTCTCCATATTTCCTTTCCGTAGAGGTTTTCACAAAATGGTTAGTGCTTTCGCGCCTAAAGTTTTCAGTTTCATTATTTTTTGGATTGGAGGGCTGTCGATGGCTAGCTTCTCCAGAGGTTTCTTCATCGTAAGTTAATCTCTGATGAGAGATATTCAAAAAATTTACGGCCTCCAAAACAAGTCTTAGACAAATCTTGTCCAGTCTTTCAGACCAAGTTTCAGGTAAAGGTTGATACTGATGCTGATACAGCAGATATCTTGATAAATATGGAGCAAACTATGAGATGATTAGGAGCGTGGGGGATTCGAAACTCTGAGGCACAAAAATATGTATAATTTTCTGATGAATGGTTTGGGTATGAACAATTTGACTGTGGTTAAAATGAAAATCTGGGGAAAGGAAGGATGTAGGAAACAGTCTGAGGATCAGCCTGAAAACACAAAACAAAATGAAACAGAATAGGAGAATAGGTAACAATCGATTTCTGTCCTCTTAGTGAACATATCATTTTTTTCTGATGAACCATGAAGATTTTCATAAAAAATCAATTGGTAGTTTGCTGTGCCACTACCT